GTATTCTTATTTGTAATAGAATTCAGATAATAGTGTATTATTATTTTGCAAGAGAAAAGCATCTCTTTGTGCAAATGAGGTAAATTTGAGTTGATATGGAAACTAGTGAATGTTTGAATATATTTGGTAACAAATATGTTATAGAAGTCTCTCTTGATATTTTTTTTTTCTGTTAAAACAACTCAATATTCATCCTCATGTGTTGTATAAATCTTTGGCAAACATGGATCTTTGTGCTTGCAAAAAGCAGAATGTCAAAAGGATATTTATTTTTCTATGACACCACTTTTATTTTAACTAACTTCACACTTTGGCAATGTTTATTGTTTTAAAAAAGCAATGATTAGAATTGGAAAAAAAAACTATTTCTTTGTTCTTGAGAACTGACAACAAAAATATTAAACATTATTTATTTACAAGAATAATTTTATATTTACAATACTCTAAAAACTAATACAATTAATACTAATACAATGCAATATTTATCATTTACCAATTTATAAAGAAATAAATATGAAAAGAGTTTTGTATTCATAAATTTATAAACATTTACTAGATTATTAAAATAGGTAAACCAACTATGAGGATATCATTATTTACCATTTTATAAAGTTTGAATCAATTGGTAATTAGCCAATGTTTTGCCAACCATTCTAATAAATAATATGGTATAAATAAACAATCTAATAAATAAATAGTATTTATTTTGTTGTCAATTCTCAAGAACAATGAAATGTACAAATTCACTTTCATTGCAATTCTAATCATTGCTTTTTAAAACAATAAACATTGCTGAAGAGAAAAAGTAGTTAAAAAAAAAAAAAAAGCAGTATCATGGGAAAAACTGTCCTTTTGACATTGTCTATTTGTGAGCACAAAAACCCATGTTTACCAAATCTTTTTTCAAATTCAAAGTTTAAAGAAATCCTAAAGATAATGCAAAGATCTTAACAACCAGTTGATCATCTCTATATTTTAAATCCATATTCTATATATATACTGTCTTAATGTTGAGAATCTCATATACAGGTGAAGGACTCTGTTCTGAAAATTTAGTAATATTGTTCTAAATATATTATCTGATTTTTAGATGTGTTCTTTAGGCTATAGATATAATTCATTTTGTGTCTTTTATAGTTGCCATGATGTTTTGGCTGATCCACTCTATTGTCTTCCAAAATGGTACAATATTTTCATTATTTTCTGAGGAAAAAATCTACAAAGGAGTTAAAACATTTAAAATATATACTTGGAAGCAAACGAGTTCTATGTTTTTCCATTTGATTAAATAAATTTTTGAGTTTAATGTCCAATTATTTTTTTCTGAAATTATCAGTGAATAATTTTAATTAATATTATTACTAGCATAGTACCCATAACAATGATGAGATTATTTATGTATCAGCACAGCTTTCAAAGATTAGAGCATCTGCACTCTGTCTCAGATCAGAGTGTAGTATCTGTGCACTCTATAGAAAGCATATACACAGGGACTTATATATATATATATATATATATATATATATATATATATATATATATATATAATAATGAAGAGTAAGCGTTCTCAAAAGCAAATTTGTGGCTTTCACAACACAAAGAAAGAGAATCACTTGTAACACGTCAGGAAAATAACTCACGAACGCCGTGAGCCAAAACTGCCCGAATTTTCCTCCCAGAGTCGACAACACCAACTGCTTTTATCGGCAGAACCTATTTTTTCCATTCGTCGACAGCCGGGATAGGATGCTCCGTAATTTGCATATTAATACACTCTTATAGCGACTCCTGCGATGAACTTGTTTCTTTTTCGCTTGGGTTGACGAGGTAAGTCGCTATAAGAGTTTTGCTGACTACTTTTCTTTTTGGCAATCCCTCCCCGGCAGATCGCATTTAAAACACAAACTTTTTTCCGGGGTACTTGATTATCTCGTTCACTACAAATAAAAAGGCTTAAACACTAATATCCTTTTTATTATATCCTTACTCTGTCCTGGACATTGAGTTCTACCTGGATTCTATCCTCTTGGAATTTTTTATTCAAAAAATATACATGTATGTGTATGCACCTATGTATATATATTTATATATTTTGCATATGTATGTGTATATTTACCACTAATATTAACTATATATTTGTGATAAAAAATATACTTTTAAAGTATGCTATATTTATGGATAAAAGTGCTCAGTGTCAGAGATAGAGCACATGTGAGTTCCACATCATGTGTCAACAGACTTTTATGCTTGAACACAATCTTCAAGCAGTATCTTCATATGCCCTGAAAATTTTGTTCCAGCATGAAAAAGCTTGTTGGTTTTCACCTCTATGTCTCTTTATATATATATTAATGATTAAAAAAATGTTAATACCTTTAGTGTTACTTTCTTTATTAGAAAAGCAGAACTGATATTATGATTTCATAGTTTCCTCATAGTTACATGTAGGCATAAAAACAATTATAAGTTGAAATATGTTTATCCAGATTAATTTTTAATGTAAATTATGGTCTGTTTATTTTTTTAAAAAAAAGAACCAGTAATCCCCCTTTATGTTTAATATAAAAAATTAATATTCTCAAATCTAAAGTAAACTTTTATTTATTTTATTTTTTTACATATATAATAAATGCCAATGTCAGTGTGTCACACTCTTTCAATTAAAGGAACACAACTCTCAATAGCTCATCTTCATTGAACTTTTAAAAGATAAGCTTAAATATAAATGGAATACTTAATTGCAGCAATCAATTTTGAGTTCTTCTGTAGTTTATTGTTGCCTATCACATCTACTCCACCCTACCTATTGTGATGAAGGTTCAATTAAGAGCTCTCCGCAGGAGCTAGCTTAAATGCCATCCAATAAGGCACTTTTAAGCTAGTATGTATAAAAACTCTGAATCGTGCTACTGGTGAGGGATTATATATTAACACACAAAGTATCTCCTGAAGGAGTATACTAAAGAGACACACCAGAAAAAATATCTCAATACCAAAATTACAAAGCTTATATATATATATATATATATATATATATATATATATATATATATATATATATATATATATATATATATATATATATATATATATATATATATATATATATATATATATATATATATATACATAACACTCTTTTTGTAAAGTGTCACAGTTACTTCATTGGATCGAGGCAACACATACGTAAATACATTAGCATTTTTTATGGGTCTTATGCTAGTATAATTTATAACTGTATAACACTTGTATAATTAAAATTAGCAGTTTATATGTATTTTATGTTCAATACAGTTTTGTAAATGAAGAAGTTGGTAATGTAAAGTGCTTTCATGCATTTTTTTTTCCTTAGCCTTATGATTGTTGCCTGTCTCCTTTATTCTTCCTTTCTTTGCATTTTTCTCTTCTTTTTCTCATTGTTATTCTCTCTGGTCTTCCTAATTACATCTATTATCATCATACAATTCATAAAAAACAAAGAAAAAGAAATAAAAATGCCTGTTATAAAATGAATTGATATTTGAAACTCTCATATTTTATGCATGAATCTCAAAAATGAACTTCCGAGTGTTTTAGAGGTTCGTCGCTAATTCTTTGGTCTAAAAACAAATCTTGCTTTATGGAAATGTAGATTTTCAAACCTTTCCACTGATTCCTGATTCATATTGACTGAGTTGTCTGCTCTTTCTAATGCATCAGTACATTCTAGAATCTTTTCATACCTTTGTATAAACAGATTTATATTTTTCTTTGAATCAGTTTTGCCTTTATGGATGTGTCTTTATTTTAATGCTATAATATTCACCTTTAACTTGAGACAAATATATTAACAACATAAGTTTATTTTGTCATAAAATAGCTTAATCCATTGAACCCAATGATTAACAAGCACAATGCTTTTGCATCTAATCAACAAAAAGAATCATACAGCCTAACATGCAAATAGAATAAGGCTGTTCATGTGAGCAACTTCATACCAGCCATTTGTTATTCTTCACTGTCACAGAGAGAGTTCCGAAAGAGTGAAATTTATCCCAAAATGTTCAGATAGTGTATTTGGCAATTGGTAAAGTCTCAGGATTTAATGGGTTAAAAATGTCTCTTTTATTGTCTTTAAGACAATTTCTACAAAAACCCAGAATTATTACATGGTGTCATATATTCTTATCTAAGTGACAAGGTCTGTCTGTTTAAATTTAATTTAAATTCTCTGAAGGTCATGTTTTTTTTTTTTTTTAAATACTTTAATTTGTCTTGGTCATTATCAAAAACTGGCTGTTATCAGTGTGGTAGAAAATTTTTTTTTTTTTTTTATGCTTCAATTCCAATTTGGTTCAAGTATACACATTTCATATTAAGTGACTTCACATGTAAAAGGGTTTCACAGAGCTTAATTTAATTACTTAAATAAACACAATGAAAACATGAATTTAGAACACTTTATCCACAATTTTGCTCCCTATGTACATCTTATTTTTAAATTGGAAAATTCAATAAAAAATTAAACAGGCAGACCGTCTTTGAATGTAACAAAACATATTTAAAGGAATATGGTTACACAAATACAGATACATCAGCACCTGCAGTGTAATGATGAAAAAGCATTTATTTTACACAAATATTTATCTTTCTATATAATTTCCTTTTTTTGTAAAGGCACTTAATCGAGTCATGAATATTAATCCCATAGATTGAACATTATACAGTAAAAGTTTCAGATCAAATATTCACCTAATGAAGTGTCAGGTATCACTTGCATATAATGCTCATATAAATTCATCTCGAGAAAATTAAACTTTATTTCTTTCCGTCTGAATTTCTAGAATGAAGATTTATAATTATTTACACATGGACTATTGTCTCCATCTTTACTGTTTTATTATAAATAATCCAGAACAACAGCAAAGATGAGGATTTTTTTTTTTTTATTTCTTGTTTGATTTTGAAAGAGAAATGTTTGAATGCTTAATAATTTACAAATTCTATTCTTTTTTTAATAGGTGAAGACAGCATCTCCATTGAGAAGGGTGATATTACATCTCCACTCGATCTATCTTTTGACAAGGTAAACAAACACAGTGCTCATCGGCATGTTTTATTTCATTTTTTTTTCTTTCTTTTTAGTCATGTCTTTTCATTTATAGCGTAGTAAACCTTATCACAAATTCTGTTGCCAAAAGTTGTTTTATAATCTATTTTGGTTTTGTATTCTCAGCCAGATGTGTAAATTTGGGCAGAGAGGAAAAAAGAAAAAGAAAAACTAAAAGATTTTCATAATGACCAGAGAATTTATTTCACTAATTTGCATTTAAAACTGTTACTAAACTAAAGCTTTAATTCTAAAATATTTGGATATGACATTAAATAATTTTAATTTTTTTTTAAATCTTGTAAATTACTGGCTGAGATTACTTTAGTATGCATGATACAAAATTATTAGATTTTATATTGTAAATAGTATTTTAGTATTTTATCTACACTTCACAATAATTATTGTTCACTTTGGAAAGGGAATGAAAATTTTATAAAAGATATATATATATAATTGTGTATTTGGGAAGCAATCCTTGACAACTGACAAGGTACTGTGATTAAGCTTTTCATTTAATTTTAATTTTTTTTTTTTACTGAATGTATGGGTTTTTATGTCTCTGTCTAGAGTTATAGGAAGGTTTTATTTTCCAAACAGGATCAGCACATTGTGGCTGTGTTCCTATTTGATATTATTGAGTGTTGGCAGCTTTTTCTTTTTTTTTTTATTAGTGCTTCCATTACTTTTTAGTTTTTTTTACATGAGGCTATATATATATATATATATATATATATATATATATATATATATATATATATTTGTATATTTAGGCAGCAATCCTTCGTTTGTTTCATTAAAAATGACAGACATCCTTGATAATGGCTAAAGGTATAGCCGAAAGTGCTCAGAAATATAAAACATTTGGACAGTTCTTACACACCCTTTGTCCAGAGAAGAAAGCTCTTGTTTGAACACAAGAAAAATTAAATAAAAAGCTTAACCGTAGTACCTTGTCTGTCGTTTTTAATGAAACATGCATATATATATATATATATATATATATATATATATATTGGGTGCATGACCAAGTGGTTAGAATGTTTGCTTTCTGACCATGAGATCTGGGTTAGAATCTCACCATGGTCGATTTGTCAGGAAGGAGACTTCTTGATGTTATTGGAATGGATCAAGGTCGATCCCAGCGTGTGGCACCTTTGGAAATTTCCTGAAAACTATACCATGGGTTGACCCAAGCCTTGTGAGTGAAATTGGGTAGAGGGAACTCTTGAGGGCTGTTGATAGCTGTGCTAGCACAAAGCCACAAGCCATCAAACATGGCTGAGGGCTTGAGCGTGCTGGCCCTGTTCAAATTGTTGATTAAGCTAGATAACACACTCTCTCCCAGAAACTAACTATGGTCTGCTCAGCATAGTTGCAGTATAAACCACAGGTGTGCTCTGTGGGTGTTGAGCAAACACACATGTGCCTGAGCGAGCGTCTGCAATGGGGATTGGCTAGCCACCTTAGTAGACAGGTATCCTTGAATGCGAGTGGCCAGCTATGATATATAAACAAACCAAAAGTATTCATAAAGTATTAGTTTGTGTCTTTGTCTGATGATAATGTTGCAAGAAACTTGGAGGAATTATTTAGACCTACTGTCTTAAGAAGCTTGAAGAGAGTTCCAAAAGTTAGAGAAAAAACTGTCAGCATAGAACTTAGTTACATCTAGCCATTTCAAATGTAAAGTGATGAAACCTTGGCTCCAATCTAATACTGTAATTAAATTCATAAAGTCAAGGTACCAAAGCAGTAAGTTCGTCAAAACAATTACTATGAAAATATTTATAGAAAAGGCACAGAAGCTATGTTATAGCAGTGGGAAAGTGACTGAAGCCAAGATAACCAGATCAGTACCAATAACGTTGCAGATTCTGCTGTTGATTTTTATCAAGAATCTCTAAATACATGACAGAAGCACCTGACCATATGTGGTAGCAAAGTTCAATGCCTGGACAAATAGCAGACTTATAAATGTAAGATAGATTCTGGCAAATATATATATATATATATATATATATATATATATATATATATAATGTTTCATTGAATAATATAGACATATTGTGTCTACTTATTTTTATATTGATTCATTCCTGTTGTCTAATCAGTTTCTTCATGTTTAGTTGAAATTCATCAAAAAAGGTGCTGTAGTATTAAGTTTTTTTTAACCCAAGTACTTTTGACCTTTTCTAAGATTGTCACCAGGAGTAAATTACAAAGACAACATATTGTAACTGTGATAAAATCTGCATTCAGTTGTGATAGTAATTTTTTTAAAATCATGTCATGTTATAATATGTTGAGTTTGTAATTTATCCCTGAAGATGATCTTAGAAAAGGTTGAAAGTACTTGGGTTAAAAAAAAAATCTATAGTGCCTTCCTTGATGAATTTCATCTTAACATGAAGAAACTGATTAGACAACTGGAAAGGATCAATATAAAAATGAGTAGACATAATATGTCTATATTATTCAATGAAAATGTTTGAATGAAGATATATAAAATATGGGGAAAGGGGCTAATGAAAATTTTATGATTCCATGAAGGATTTAACAGTTAAAAAAAAAATAGTTGGGGCAGGATTCCTTATCTGTAAGAAAGATTTTCTATATTTCCATCAAGATTTTTATTCCCTGTTCCATTCTGTTTTTTATGGTAAGTAAATAGAAAGACACTTTTTTTTTCCCTCTATGTTGTTTCAATATTGTGTCAATATGCTTACTGGTTGCATTCTTTTGTTGCATGAACTGTTTAAGTATCTGCCCTCTGTTGCTTTCATTGTACATTAGGACTTACATAAAGTCCGGAATGCTTCTGAAGACACCAGAGGCCGCATCATAAGTGACATTGGTGCTGGCATGGAATACCCTACCTACTTGGAGAAGGGCCCTGATTATGAGGCTGAAATGATGTACTATAGTGGAGATGTTTTGTCACCCCAGGAAAAGGTAAATTTGTTAGGGGTTTTTTTTTTGTTTTGTTTTCTGCTAAATCACTAACCAAATAATATTGCTATTTTTAACAGCCTTTAACGAAGTGAAAACAAATTTCTTTTTCATTCTTCTTGGTAATTAATATAGTTGGGTAGCATTTTCTTTCATGTATGCAAAAGGTAAGTATTACATTAATTTTATTTGGAAAATCAGCTTATTAATATCCTTTTTTTATGTCTAAAGTTTTTACAATATAAAAAGATTTTTTCTTTTTTTAAAGACTTTTCTAAGATAGATTAAAATTATTTTTGAAAATTTTTTTTCATTCACTTTTAAGTTTAAAATTAGGAAAATAAAAATTTGGTTTTATTCATGTAGTTGATTGGTAAATAGGATTGTATTTATTTGCATATTTTAAGTAGAAATATAAAGTGTATAGTAAGTAAACTAAGAGACAGGGAGAAGTTGACTAATGATCATGTGTCATAGAACAACACAATACAACAATTCATTTATTTAAAAAAAAAAATCGTTTGACTTTTACATTTATACTTTGTTTTTAAATAGAATAATAAACTTACATGGAATTGAATTTGGAATAGGTTTTGAATATTTCAATACCAGAATACATTATATTTTACAATTGAGTCTCCTGATGAGTGGATGTAATTCTGCAAGACACACAATAGAGAAAAGTGAACATATTTAATTTTATTATCAGAATATATCTAAATATAAAATTATATGGAGCACTTCAACATGGTGTAATGGTTAGCAAGCTTGTTTTGTTAGATCAGTTACGACTGATGACTCTTGCACCGGCCCTGTTCAGTTTATTATATTTGAGAAGAGATGGTCAACAACACTAAGTAACTACTATTGTAACTAGGGATATTGCAAAGATCCTTAATCAGGTCACGATTCCTTCTCTGCAGTTAGTGCCATAACCTTCTTACTTAGAAATGAGTTGTGTGCCACTGAGTAATTCTGTTGTCTTAAAAAAAAACATGAAGGACTCAGCACCGTACTTCTTAAGGTCAACCCGAAAATAACATTAAAAAAAACAAAAAAACTATGTAATGGGAGACAACTTCAAATTCAACACGAGTTGCGTCCCTTAGCGGATTTCTATTCTCCCAGCATTACACTCTTCAGGAGTAGGCTGGTCCTTTACAACCATCTCCTCCACCTCCATTTGCAGATTGCGCAGTCGATGAATCTGTAGATGGCTTGTAAAGCCGATTCTTGCCTGGAATTGGTGGGGACAATGAGGACAGGCAATTGTTTCTGAAGGCCAGGGCATCTCTACTAGCCATCTTCATTCTTGTTTCTTTTCTTGAATATAGTTCTTTCTTTCTGTTTCAAAGTTGGTTGTCTTGGATGATATTCTTTCATTGATTTTGTCCATGGCTTTCACTTCCCAGGTTTGGTGGTCTAGTCCAACAAACTTTAGGACATTAACAGTATGATATGCAGAAGAATGTTTTATGTACAATGAACTGATAGATTTTGAGAATTTAATTGCATAAAACGTGTTTTGAGAGAAAATGTTATCTTGTAAGGCAAGTCACTGAGAAATATTTTTAGCTTATTTAAAAATAAAAAATGATAAATTACCAAGGACTATTATATTTGGTATAGATAACCTCTTCTGTGATGGTAGATTTAAAATTGGTTTTTCTTTTAATATCTTATATACTTTATCACTGTAAGCTCTATCTTTAGTTAAACATTTGTTTGGGTTTCATGATGTCTATATTCAAGATACAATGAACTTACTCAGCTCTGAGATTATTTATCATAGAGAGAAGGTGGGGAGAAGGGCGATAGGATAGTGAAGTAGCTGATGAGGTAAGAAGTTTTCAAGATTACACCATCAAAACAAAGGTTTTGTTTGTAAGAAAATAGATGAAAGACACTTTCATTTGGAGGTATCTGTATCTGCCTGTTAAATAAAGTTATTTCTCTTATATAATAAGTGACTGATTTTATAAATGCTTGGTGTTATCCTATATAAGCATTGAAGCAATAAACAATTTCAGAACAAAGACCATTATTAAATATCTTGGTACAGAACAAAGAAACCAGAAAAAAATATATTTAAAGATGTCAGTTTATATAATTTAATAATGAGTGACTTTTTTCTTGGTTAATTTCAATTAATAAAATTTGAGCATAGGTAATTGAAACTAGAAATTAACTTAGAAGAATAACAATTTTAAATAGAATTAAACTTAGCTCTTTGGACTACTTTTAGAACAAACTAAGCTAACTTGTGCTACTAAAATAAATATAAACTTTAAATTTAGTAGCCTTAGTTTTTAATATATAGTCCAATATATCAAACCTATAACATAAAGTTTTATATGAAAAACCTGCTTGTAGTTAGTCTATCTTAAATTAAAAAAAAAACAAAAAAAAAAAACACCAATAATCTATATTATAAGGATGTGATTTCTGTTTGAGTAAATGTGTTTGTTTATTATATAATAATGCCGCAAAAATTGGCACATCATTGTGAGATTTTGATTGAGGCAATAAAATTAAATTAGAATCTAATTTGAAGAATAAAGCAATTTCCAATCCAATTAGCAACTTAACAATAGTGATCTGATTTTTGGATGTTCATTTGTGCATTACTAAAACTGAAAAGAAAATTATATCAACATTGAAAGAAGAAAAACATGAAAAGATTACTAATAGTGTGGGGTCTGTATCCACACACACAGTGAAAATAATGATCTGTTTTCTGTATGTTTATTACAAAAGCTGAGGAAAATCCTAGCAACTTTGAAAGAGGAAAAATTAAGATTACTTATTTTCTAAATTATTTTCTAAATTGTAAATATATAAAAAAACATCATTAACATTAAATTCTGCTGATTAGGGATGAGTAAAAGTACAAGTTAAGCGAACCTTAAATTTTAAATGAACCGATAATTACAGAAGTTCTCTAAATAGGAAGTGACTTGATATCAAGCTGAACACATTGACTGCCAACTTTCACATATGACTGTCAATTTTTATTTTGATGTTGATTTGAATTATCTCATGTCAATGAGTTTATTTGCAGTGATAATTTTAGTGTGAAAACAATGTTAAAATCAAGTCATAAAAATTTTTTCTTATCTAAGTTGGCTATTATAAAGTTGGTGTTTTAAGTCAGATTTTGGAATTGACCTCTGGCTGTCAACATGTTAAGGGCTGCCTTCAATCACTTATGAGTAAAAATAAACACTGAAAAACTGATAAACCAATCCCCAGCTATTTTTGTCAATCAAATATTGCTTACCTACAATCAGGTTTTTCATCATTACTTCCATTCTTTAAGTATATAGAAATTTGCTTATTGTGTACAGTGGTTAATAAACTTATCTTGGATACATGTAGTATACTGAATCTTTAATAAATCCCTGTGGCCTTGTGCCTGACAGTTTTTTTTTTTAATAAATTGGTTTCACCCCATGCAAGGCAGAAAAGCCACTAAGACACATGGGGTTACTGGGTGTGGGAGAATTAGAAACAGAAACATTAATAATGAGCGAGAAGAGAAAAAAGTAATCAAGAGGCCAGCAGATAGCAATTGACATTGCATTTAAATTTTTGCAGATTAAAATTTGCTGGAAAGCATAGAGCCAGAAGAGTTCCACAAGCCAGAAATGCAAGAAATGAAACTGTTAGCATAGAATTTATCTTAGTAAATAACTATGACTTCACATATGGAAATATTAATAAGCTGATTTTTTTTGTAATCTTTTATTTTCTTGCTAATTCAGTAGATACTTTCCAAGCATGTGACTAATCTTTAGCATGTTACTAAAAATATTAATTTTAGAATAAATTTATCATTTTATTTTATTTTATATTTCATAATTTCTTTGTCCTTCAATCTTTTTAGTTGATATTTACTTTGCATGTTTTAAATTTTGCTGTCAAAAATGATTCTTTTGCAACTGCAAGTCTTCTTTGAGAATGTTTACACTGAAGATGTTAGGGAAACCTAATCAGATTCCATAGAATATTTGTAGCATTCCATTATAGATATATATCATATACTTGCATGGTACTAGTGAAAAAAAATATAAAAAAATACAGATCATTGATGTATTAACTGACCTCCTCTGCTTGAGATCTGTATCCATGCACTCTGCCTAGGATTGTGTGTGTGTATATATATATATATATATATATATATATATATATAACTAATGGACCCTTAAGGTTGTCTGTTTTCTAATTAATATTAAAATTTTACAATGGTCAGTTTTCAATTTGTGTCTGACATGCATGAAACTCAGTTATACAAAATGGTGAGGAACAAATGTATATTTATTATTAATATAAAATTTAGCTCTGTTATTTTACATTGAGCACTTTTTTATCATCATCAGCACTCACTCTGTGCTATTTTAATACATATATATATATATATATATATATATATATATAGCTTTTCCTTGATGTATATCATATTGCTCTGTATTCTATACATTAAGCTCTCTATGGATATCTTGTTAGTATTTTATATTAAAAAGAACCACTTGAATTATCCTTTCCACTTAAGGAATTGATAGTTTTTCAAACCCAGCCTATGTTTTGTTCTGGGTGTAAGGATGTTCTCCCTCCCCATCAAATTAATTCTATTGTCTACAAATACAATTGTAGTTGCTGTGCTGACTACATAGGGAGAACCACTCAATGCCTTGACATGAGAATTAAACAACATATTCCCACTAAGATCAGGAATCACACCTTGTCTTTGAATGGACGTGTCCCAAATAACTATGGTTCCACCATATGTGAGCATCCCTTAAATAACAGAGGATGTGCTGCTAATTTTAGTGCTGACTGGTTTACTGTTTTGTCCCGGTCGCATTCTTTATTTCACCTCAAGGTGCTGGAGGCACTTTATATCGGGTCCCGCAAGCCCTCCTTGTGTAAACAACGTGAGTGTTTGTTGGGACTCACTGTTATTTGTCTCTAGCTCCTTTAGCTCATATTTTTTTTTCTCTTCCCCCTTTTCCTTCTCATTGCACATTTTCTAGTGTTTTAATTTAAGTTGAATCTCCCATGGAGGCCTGAAGAGCAGGAGCTAAACTGGTTGCTTCGCTTTTAATATGTCTAGTAATATTAAGCTTGACACTTTTATTTCTATTATTAAATTTTGTACCTACAAAAATATTTTCAAATATATATATATATATATATATATATATATATATAGTTATCCACAGACAGACTGTTTAGTTGCAATCACAGCTCATTAGTATGGCCAGACATCCGATTGCTTCAAGCCGGGATTGAAACTGATTTGGCATCAGTCAGAGATTCTGCTCCCAAGCTAAAATCTTCAACTAATATTGTAAAGAGATTTTTGTTATTCAAGCTTTGTAACTATCATTTTATTAGTTTATGCTTTTTTATTTTTTATTTTTTTTTAAACAGTAAGGTTCACCCTGTTCAAGGCCTGGGGGCAATTTGTAGTAGAGGATTATGTTAAGGGGTAGTTTATATGGATAGGAGGGGAAGATAATGGTTGACTCTAGACTTGAACAGGTTAATTAAGAGTGTAGTGATCAGGGAATCATTCTCTTGGGAGTCTGTTCCACAGGGATGATGTAAAAATAAAATGATAGAAATTAATTAATTTTGCAATTGTATTTTATTTAAAAAATATTGCAAACTCCATTTTCATACCTATGAAAATTTTTACTTAATAAAAATTAATAAAATTTTTGTGTAATAAAGAAGGATATTTGTGATTAAAATATAGATATTTTTGCATATTTCCTTTCATTATTACAAAACAAAAGAATGCCTGTTCCTTAGATTGTTATGTAAACCTTGACTTGCATGCCCAGAATGCATGCCTTTTTACATATAAGGCTTGATCTTAAGTTTAGTGTGTTTAAATAGTGTGAAAAGAATCAAATAAAGCTTAATTTAAGTCTTTTTTTTATTGTAAACTTTAAACATAGAAAAATTCCATTTTGAAGCTATGAAAGATAAACCATTAAAGTTCAAAGAATTAAACTAAGAACCCCACCAGATTCTACATTAATTTGGATTAATTTCCACACAAACATAATTACACAGATGTTACTTTTACTATATTTGATGGCATACAAGATGTACTGGTGTATAAAACACACCCCATTTTCAGCAGGGCAAATCAAGAAAATTATTAATGAATATATATTTGATTAATATATTTATAACAAAAATTAGAAATTTCATTAAGAAACTGTAATCTGAAACCTGAACCAAATAAAAACATTCTGATGAACATTGTCTTATTTTAGTCTTTTATTTATTGCTAAAATGGAAAGACAAGCACTCATTATGTGTATATGCAAAGCAATAAAGTGCTTAACAACAAACAACATATAGTCAGCCAGGAACATAAAATGCTTTTTTGATGCAATTCGATAGTTCTATGGTGTGTTTAAATGTAAAAATAAAATTAAAATATTAAAAACAAATAAAAATAAGGTATTTGATGGTATATAAGACACACCCCAATTTCAGCAGGGAAAATCAAGAAAAAAAATTACTAAAATTATTAGTAAATGCTACAGCCTAGGCTATATTTATGAGGTATTATTTTGGTTAAACAGGCCATGATTACAATTAAACGAAAAATGATAGGAAAAAAGAACACGAGCCTATAAAAACTTTATTATATCCAAAGGTAAGAAAACAAAATAAAGATCAAGCAATTATTACAATTGAGCAAAACAGTACAGTTACCATTAAAATTCAGTCAAAAATTTTCCTTTATGTGATTCGTACGACCTGCATCTTGTAAACATTTTAGTGGAATAATTAGGATATAAAAATTCTGATTGTATCTATACCAATGCAACCGGAAGTTATTGCAAGAAAAATATTAATGAAACAAATATATTTTACAAATATATAACTTGAATTTATTGCATATAATTTTAGTGAAACAAAGTACTAATATTAAATGTGATGAAATTATATAATGAATATTATCAAAGATGACACTTTTAATCTGCCTAATATCCTTTTAAATAATGACGATAGGTATATAAAAGTTACTCTAAAGTCTAAGCTAGAAGAATAGGAATTGCCAGGTAGCTAATTTTGGCCAACTATTGCATATTTTAAACCTACATATGGTATATAAGATGCAGGGGAATTTTAAAAGATATTTTTAGTAAAAAAAAAAGTGCAACTTAGATGCCATCAAATATGGTAATTGCTTAAATTAATTGTATTTTTAGAAATAATGACTTTCATAATTTTGCTACTGGTCAAAAAATAAATATTAATAATTAATAATGTCATTTTGCTACTGAATAAATCTACTTCCTTAAATAAATAAATAAACAAATAAAAATAACTTTTAAAGGATTTTATTTCATTTTATTTTTTATGGTGGGAATGTTTATATCTATATTTGTACCTTTCATTTTCTATTCAAAAGACAAGCAGTTTTTCAAAAAATTATTTTTGTCAGTTTTTTTTTTTTTTTTGTCTATGTTAATTATAATTTTTATTGCATGAGAATGAGATATTACTTTTGCTATCAGGACCACCATGGTCATGACAGTGTTTTCGCTGGTGGATTTTCAACTCTTGACGGACTATCCACATCATTTGACAGAGACCGGATATCTACCCTTGATTCCACTTTCGATAAAGATTCTATTCATCAAGTTGAGCCAGTTGAACAAATTTTCGTGCAAAATATTGGCTCATCATTAGCGCCCAGGGAAACGGGCAGTCAAATGGATGATGACCTGAACTATGTTGATGACACACAGGCTTCATCCTCAAAGGTAAATCTTATACAGTTAGGTGATGGGCAACTATTTCCCTTAAATTACATATATATCTTTTGCTCTTTCTTAAGGCACATTGTAAAGTTTATTTCCATATATTACACTGTATGGTATTTTAATTTAGATCTTCATATTTTCATTTAATCACAATTTTAATAGGCATACCATGTTTTTTTTGTTCATGAAATGCAACAAATATATATTTTTTAAAGAGCTGTTGTGTATCTCCTAAGATAAAGACTATACTTCCAACACTCTTGAATATAAGACTAGAAAATTTACTCAGTGTTCTAGAAACTGAAGATTATATTTTGGTAATCTTGGACCCTTGGGCCCACAAAAAAAAAAACAAAACAGTTTTTCCATTAATACCACTATTATTTTAACTACCTTTACTACTTGGCAATATTTATTGTTTTAAAAAGTGATGATCAGAATTGTAATAAAACCTAAAAATATAAAAGTGAATTTATACATTTTCTTTGTTCTTGAGCAGTAACAACAGAACATATTAAATCATATTTATTTATTAGATTGTTTACTGGAATGGATGGCAAAACATTGGCTAATTGTCAATCAATTCGAACTTTATAAAATGGTAAATAATGATTTCATTATAGATGGTTCACATATTTTTATAATTTACCAAATGTTTAATTGCTTTCATATTTATTTCTTTATAAATTAGTAAATGATAAATATTGCATTGCATTAGTTTTAATTGTAATAATTTTTAGAATGCTGTAAATATAAAATTATTCTTGAAAATAAACAATCTAATAAATAAATAGTATTTAATACTTTTGTTGTAAATTTTCAAGAACAAATATGTATAAATTTACTTTCATCATAGTTTTAGGTTTTGTTAGAATTCTAATCATCACTTTTTAAAACAAACATTACTGAGGAGTGAAGTTAGCCTTTTTTTTTTTATTTTACTTAATTCTTTCACTGCTGCATTGTTATAGCATTGTTACCTGGCTGGGCTGACCCTATTTTCAGAAAAATAGGAAATTACCATTTACTGGAAATAAATTATTATAAAAACCCTTACAGTGATTTCTTATAGGTGTAACTATTTTAGTTTTAGTCAGATACTCTGTAGTACAGACTATGCTAAACGTCTCCCCAACACAAAATGCACTAAAATGAATCATTACTGTACACTACTTTGTCTGTTGGTTTGGAAAGAGCACTGTGTGTTAGTTGGCTCACAATGATACACCAGTTCTCATACAATTACCAAGGTTAAGAAATATCAGGCTTGGTCAATACCTAGCTGGGTGACCGCTTAGGAATGCCAGACACTGTAAGCTTGGATGTGTGGGTGGTGTAATAGATAATGGTTCCTAATTGGAAATTGGAGAGCTGAGTTCCAATTGCAGTAGGGTTCATTATATTCACTTACCTGCAAATACCTTTAGGAAAGGTATGAATTCCCCTTTTCTCCCACCATCTATGGGTTATTTAGTAGGACTTGCATCAGTAAATCATATTGCTAAACCATTATTATCTTCCCAAAATTCTTACAATTTAAAAACATTTTCTGGCTTTAAATAACCCACAAAAGGTTGATAAGCTATTAAAAAAAACAAAACAAAAAAAAAAGAACTATGCACTAGTTCATAATAAAAATGCTAGATACCAACATTTCAAGGTATCTTAAGACACACACACACGTCAACAGCAGGCAGTGTAAGTTTTGTAAAGGCTTATAAGAATGCCTTCATATATATATATATATATATATATATATGTATATATACACACATTTAGGTAATGAAAAGTTTGGTAATCCATATGGATAATCCCAAGGAGGATGTAATCCAGAGAGCTCAATGTCAAACTAGAGTGAATATTAATTAAAATTAAAAACAGGCACCCTTAAGGGTCTATTGATTACATAATTTTTTTTTATAAAAAAACACCTTCCTGGGGAAATAAAATATAATCAATGGACCTTTTAAGGTTATCTGTTTTTTTAATTTCAATTAAATTCTATATAGGCCTGTCTGCTAGGATAACTAGGCAATTCCTTTATGGAGACACCTTCTCAGGCACATTTGTGTTTGTTGAACCCCCACAGAACCCACCTATGGTTCATACTGCAACTATACTGAACAGACTTTAGTTAGTGTCTTGGAAATAGCTCACAGTTTGGTGTGATTGCCAGTTTGGACAAAGCCAGTATGCTCAAACCCTCAATCAAGATGACTTGTGATGTTGTTCAAACACAATCATTGGCAACCTCTGAACAGCTCCATCTACCTGATATCGCTCACAAGGTTTGGGTCAACTTTTGGTATCATTTACTGGCACTTTCCAAAGGTTCTGTACACTGGGATCACTTCCCCAGGCTGATAACATCAAGAAATTACTTCCCTGACAAATTGACCTTAGTGAGATTCGAACATGGGTCACATAGCCAGGAAGTTAATATTCTAACCACATGACCACGCACAAATAGCAGTCAGTGTAAGTTTTGTAAAGTCATATGTACTTATACAGTGGCAGTATTAATTTATATTCATTTTTATTTATTTATTTTTTTAAATTTTCAAAGTTAAAATAGGGTGGGGGTGTCTTCACCACTTGGAAATAACATATTTGAAGAGGGTGAAGTAACCTGACACTTAGCTGCCAACTCTATTTTTAGTTAAGTTTGAATTCTAGAACTGTATATATTCACATCACTGTAAAGCTCTTGTAAAAGACATAAATTCACTTCTAATTGTGCTTTGACCTATCTGATAAAATGTCACATTATTGGCATGCTGCTGTGGTCAACAAAGGTGATGCAAGAATCAGTGAACATTTACACAAATCTCTCTTCTATAACTACTCCACTTGTTAGTTTGGAAATAGCACCAAGTACTAGTTGGCATATAGCCACATCATATTGAAATACAATCACCAAGGTTAAGCAACATTAAGCCAGTACCTTGATGGGTGACTGCTATAAGATTGGATGTCTGGGTGGTGTAATAGATAATGGTGCTGAGTTCCAATTAAACTTGTGTTCATTATATTCTCTTATACACAAATACTCTTTGGAAAGGTAGGAATTCATCTCTTCTTCCCCCCAGCTATGGGTTAATTAGTAGGACTTGTATCAGTAGATCATTATTATATACAAAAAATTCTCACGTTTATATTTTTTGGCAAGCAGTTGATAAGATTTTAAAACACAAACCATAATGTAGCCAAGATAGTTTCTGCTAGAGACTAATGTTCAGGCTAAGGTAAAAATGTAGAAATTTCAAATCTTGATTTTGTAGACAGGCAGGTTGACCCTTTTCATGGGAAGATTGGTGGATATAATTTATTCGCAATCCTTCCCAGTATTTACCTTTGACCTCCCACTGAGTCAGGATGCAACACAAGGTCAGTTTGTTTTAAAGTGGGGAACCCAAGTGTCCCCACTCAGGCTTCTGGTCTTATCTAGTCATAGCTTATTTTAACTAGTCTTAAACAGTCAATCACCTCACTACAGAACAGCTCCGAGGATTCTGTCCAGGCAGTGTAGATGGGGAAGGGATCCCAGCACAACAAATACAACAGCGTCTCCACTGAGGTGGGAATTCCTCATTTGGTCTTGTGTTTGTGAAAACTAAGTAAGGCTTGCGGATAAGATTGTTATGCATTTCTCATTAGAATATGAGGTTGGTGTTTGAGTTCAAATTTAAAAAAATAAATAAATCTAGGTTTTTGATTATCAAGGCATACTGTTCATTCTCATTTGGAAGATTGGAGCAATACACTCTTCCTATTCACATTTCTCATTAGACTTTCTGTCAAACAAAGCTTAGAACCACTAGATTATTAGTCTTGTTTTGTGTGCTATGGAGGCACAGTGGCATAATGGATAATGGCTCTGATTGAGGAATCGGAGAGCCAGACTCAAATTTCAGTCAAATTCATTACATTCACTTATGTGCTAATACCCTTGGGAAAGGTATGAACATTTCTTCTCCCCTCCAGCTGTGAGTAAATAGCAGCACAGACTGGGCATTATAGGCTTGTGTGGCAACCAATCTAGGAGAAGGGCAACTCTGAATTTAAAACCTGAATCCCTAGTGTACGGACTGAGGGTGGCCCACACCATATTCTGTGGTCTTTAACTGTCAGTCAAGAGCTTAGGGAGGAGATGGGCGCCGCCAAGCTATCTGAAGCCCTCTGAAATGATCATAAGGAAGAAAAATCAAAGTCTGTTTCTTCTGCTCTCAGCTCCTGACGTTTGAAGCAGTCGAAGTACTGCCAATGATGCTATCAAATTTTCACATTTCAAAAATATAGTCAACTAATAATAATATATAGTATATTTTATTACTTGCAGCAGTTTATGGACAAAAAGATAAAATAAAAAAAAACTATTTGTTTATAAAATGTATTTAAATTTCTTACAAGTAAAATTTGATAATGTTTGTCGCTTTTCAAGTTATTGATGAATGATAAGGTAATTTTGGTTTTAATTTTCTACTTTGAAGATTTTAATGTTATTTGTTAATTTGCAATGTGTCTTAAGAGAAATTTTTTTATGAATAAACTGAAACTGAGCTTTTTATAAATATCACTTGCTTTTAGTTATTCTGCAGTTGTTTCTTTTTTTTTTTCTCTCTCTCTGATAAACTGCTTGGAAATTTAAGCTTCCTGGAAAAGTTTGGATGGTGGTGTTTTTTTTCTCTTTTTTTTTATTAAACCTCTTGATTTCAACTAATTCAAGGCTTAGTCTTAGGTTCTTAACACCCATTCTTCACATTCTTTTTGCAGAAGTTTCTTCTTAGACCAATAACATCAGATAGGAATTTCCACCATTGCAGTTTTATGGTTCAAATTTCAACTGAGAAAATTTTTTTACCAAAGTTAACAGAACAACTTCCCTCATTTGTTCAATACATTTATAAAATAAAGAATTGCAGTAATATTCAGATCCAATATTTAAAATACCTAAAGATTTAAGAAAATCATGTAAAAAGCCATATGGAAAGGTCATTCAT